CTCATTGCTGTCTACCCAGCACTTGAAACATGCTTGGCAAAAGGAGGTGTGCGATCAATGTATTTGAACGAATGAAGACATAAACTGCTTCTTTATATGGGAATCTAACTCTTGACCAGCTAAGATTCCCATACCAACCATTTCCATAGCTTTGGCTTTTAATTTACATGCACAGGGATCTCCTTTGAATACGGGCTCAGCTACAGGAGTAGAATCCTCAGTTTTGTAAAAATCAGCCACATTATTGTGTATTTCTAGAACTCCATGCTATGTATTTCTGAATGATTCCATGAGCTAAGTATAATGCCAGGGGGAACATATTTGATAATATTCTTTTTCTCATAACCCTCTCGTAGTGGCTTTTTTATCTCTCTATGATCTCTGTCCTCCATGGTGAGTGGGTTGGGGTTAGTGATCAGTAATACAATATAGCCAACATTTTCTCCTCTGATAGCCTCTTAGGCACAATCCATGGGCAAGTGACTCTTTCCCATCAATCCCTCTTACCCCTCCAATGGCAAACCTATCCCTGTAGTAGTGATTTCTGGTACGTGTCCTGAAATCCGAATGCCATAGGCTAACTCTTTAGCATGGTAGTACCTTTTCTCAGTTTCCTTATCTCTCAGCACAATGACGGTTTTCAATGAGGAGGTTCATTCACTTCACGAAATTCATGTTGCATCACTGTTTTTGTACTTCAAACATTTTTGATCTCAGCCCAAATTGATCCAAATCACGTTTCTAATGTTTTAAATCAGTTGGAAACTAGAGATGAAAAGGAAGAAGGAAGAAGTGAAAAATCTGGAGCACTAAAAAATTGGAAAAGCTGACTGTTTCTAGACCTACATGATAGGAGATAAAACAGAAAAAGGCTTTCAGCAACAAGGCCTGCTAAAATTTTTCAGTTAAAGTAATTTAGCCAAGTGGAAACAAGTAAGAACAAGAATGTGGTCTTCCCATCTATTGTTTCAGATAATTACAACGTTGCCATAAAGAGAGAAGGCATGGGGGAAGAGAAAGCAAGGGATCAAGGTAGGCTTGAAAACACTTTTTAGGAAAGACCTTTGTGTGTATACTGAAACATGAAACTTAGCAGAAGCAAACAGAGCCAAAGTCTACTAAATTTTTAAGGGAAGTAAATTGCTAAGAAACCATGAGCTTGAATTCAAACAGCTTTTGACTATTGAAACCTGACACAAATTTCAGGCCAGCATACTTGCGTTGCAGGAGGCTGGTTGAAGAAGGTGGGCAACCCCTAGTAGAAGAGTGCATACTCCCCAATACCCACTTTAGATATGGCCATGGCAGATAATGGAAAAGGGAGACCCCCAGAAAGAAAAGTCGGAAGCTACAGAAAGTGACTGATAAAGAAGTTCTTCCCAGAAAGCAGAATCCAATAAAGGTCTAATAAAGGAACATGATCTGAGGCCTTCATAATGATCTCCCATCAGGATTTCAGAATTGCTATGGACCACGACTACTGTGTGTGTTTTTCCCCCCTTTCCAAACAAAGGTTTTAATTTGCTGTCACTCTGTCCCTGTGCCACCATTGTGTATTAGCTGTGTCTAGAGTGGGTGAGTGGTAACTTTCCTCTTTAGTTCATAGGTCATTGGACTGCAAGTAGACCTAATGGAGAGTACTGCATCATTGGTGATCTTGAGTTTTGACCTGGATGTGGTGACAGGGTAAGGTGAGTGTAGGAGGAAGATTGAAACAGGTATTTGGTGACTAGTAGAGCGGATGTGTTAGAGACTAGTGGGGTTTAACAGATCCTGTTTCCTTTACCTTTTAGATGCATAGCTAGTTTACTCCCTTGAAGTTAAATGGAACCATGGGACTGAGTTCTGACCAATGAAATGTGGCTGGAATTGATGTACAATACTTCCAACTTTCCCCCTTGAAAATCTCCTTTGAGATCCTCTACACTGCAGAGGGTTCAGTAGAGAGCTCTGTGGCCTCAGGGGTGGCAGATGGAAGAATCCTGGGTCCCTGAATAAGCTGTGGAGCAGAACCTTTGACATGCATTGGAATGTAAAGGTGAGCAGGAAATAAGCTTTTACTATGTTAAATAATCCAGTAAACAAACCTTTCTTCTGTTGAGATTTAGGGGTCATCTATTATCATAATTAGCCTACCGTGACAAAGGCAGTAATTAAAGCTATATGCAATGAAACATAATAGGGTATGTGTTGGTTTTACCTATTACTCTCCAATTTCCTTTCACCAAGTAATTGTAGAGCCCATCTGTGGCTAAAGGCCTACTTCTGATTGAGACTGGATTTTCTTTAATGTCTTATGTGGTTCTTGTCCTCTGAAGTCAATTAGTCCTCAGGTGTTATTGAGTGCCTAAACCCAGATCTACTACTTACTAGCTATGTGACCGTGGGCACATATTAACTTGTCTGAGCCTCAGTTCCCTCACTTGTAAATGGTATAATAAGAGTATCTATCTTGGGTTTTTGTGAGAATTAATCCATGTGTAGTGATCATCACAACATCTGACACATGGTACATGCTCAATAAATGTTTCATCATCATCATTGTCATCATCATAAATTGCTAGTATTTGCTTGGCACTAGGGATAGCACTGAATGCGATATACAAGGTCTGGACTTTTGTCAGATATCTGATTATTTCATGACCTTTATTTTTGATTTTTCACTTGTTCAAAATAATGTCTATTAAGTATTTAATTTTAAGAGAAAAGTTTTGCATCCTTCCAATCTACTTCAGGAAACACTGGTTATGGTTGGGCATGTTCTTTGTCTGAGTGTTCTGAGTCTGTATCTGTGTTCCCTTTAGTGGCTTTACTCTGTGAATGCAGTATTTTTCTGTACTCTGTGGCAATTGGAGTGGGAGGAATAGTGGGAGGTTAAATCCCTATTGGTGGAAGTAACCACTTCCTGCTTAGAACAGCTTCCTGCTCAGATGACTTCCTGCTTAGAGCCACTTCCTTTTTAGTTACTTGGGTGAAAATGGCTGCCATTGTACATATGGAAATACACTTTGCTCCTCCTTTTTCTATCTCTGTTTCCAAGGTACACTGCCCAACCATGTCATTTCCAAAGGTGTGGAGGCAACACTTGCAAGACTCAGGAGGTTTCGAATCCCTTCTCTCTTTTCTTAACCTGTGAGAACAGAGATTGAACCTATACCAGTGATGGCCTCATTCATCCCCTAGACCATGCATTTAGATGTCCAGTTTACCTGTATTCCTGAGCTAGTGTCCTTTTGTCCATGTGGCTGGTGTCGGCCATCTCCTTGGCACACCACACTGCTTAGTAGTGCTAACTAGGCAAGCACACCCACTTGCCTTGGCATGTTTTATAGATGACCTAAGCTGTAAACACCAATATGTATAAGACATATGCTCTCTTTGTGTAATTTCAGGCACCAAAATATGCCTACACATAGGGGTGTGTGCATACAGACACACACATATTCTTTTTTGCCTGGTAGAAATATGCTTCTGTGATGTTCCTTCTACTCCCACACATGCCCCTCCATGGCTGGCACATCTCCTAATTATTCCCATCTACTCCCTCCTCATAGACCTTTTGTGTGTATATTTTGGCACACATTTTCTTGATTCTGCCTAGTTCCTTTCTCTCTCTTTTTCCCCTGCCTCCCCCCACTCCTCTTTACACTCTTTAGAAAATTTGTTAAACTATACACTCTTTATTATTAGTGTACATTTATGAAAAGTTCTTCACAGTTACAAAAGTGCATGGTTAAAAAATCATCTCCATACAAAGGTTTGTGTCTTCCCTTTCCCAGCCCCTCCCTAGCCCTCCCACCCATAGACATCAGCAATCCACAGGACAGCGCTTAGCAAAGCTGAGATCTCTGTGGATCCAGAGCTCTCGACCCAGTGCTGCGGTGAACATGATGGTGATTTACAAAGGACCTCACAACTTGCTTCCTTCACTTCCCTTTGCCTCCTGCTGGGGTCGGGAGGATAGACAAATTTCTCCAGCTTTGGGAAGATGTTCTTCTGAGGACTGGACAAATGTGTCTCTTTACACTCTTCTAGAACTGGAAAGGATGTCAGAGTGATTTCAACAAAGACATCTATGGGGAAATTGGAGGCTGTAGGTCTTTCCTGATGGTAGAAGAGAAATATTTGTCTTGGTCTATTCAAATTCCATATACCAAACTCCTTGAAAGGAGCCAGCAAAATCTAAAGCAACTCTGGGGGCCTATTGTTCAGGGTTCCCTGGGAATCTCTGTAGCAATAGAGAAACAGATGAGGGTTTGTCATAGGGTGACCAGAGACAACTGGTCCAGAGTGATGTGGTGCAGATGTGGGGTCTTTTCTAAAGAACAATTTTCTTGACCCCATTCAGTGATCATCACAGCCCTGTTGGTTAGCTAAACTTCAATATCCTCAGGCCCAGCATGAAGGAAGCTTCTGTGATGAGGACAAATCTCTGAGGGGTGGAGAACAGAGGGAAGCATTCAGGCTGTCATTAGGCTGAAGCAGACACATAGTTCTCTCTTTTTATATTTTCTGAGCAGCTATAACCTACCCCAACTCTAATGAGATTCCATCTTAGTGTATCGAATGATGCAATAGACAGCTGAGTAGACTATGTCAGAAAATTGAACTCCAGTTTCAAAGAGATTGGTCCCATATCAGTAGGTACCCAATACACGTGGACCTCATGAACAGACACACAGACTCAGAGATACCCCAATAGTTACATGTTGACTAGTCTGGAAAAAACTTAGTGAAGCCTTGTAGGAACACCATCATGGGTTCTTGGTCAGCAGGGTTGTGGGAACAGTTCCAGCCAGGACTGTTAGATGACCTCTAGAAGTGTGCCTCTAGAATTTTGCTTCTGATAGTCTGCACAAGATGGTGGTAGTGGGAGGCTGGCAAGAAGTGGAATTCCTTGGCAGTGGGGAAGTCGAAGGCTTTCCTCATTGTGCTTTAGTGAACTGCGGACCTTCCAGCAGCTGGAGAAGCATATGTTTTTTAAAAGCCATGTATCCTACTTAGAAAGGTTTGCCATTAATGGGGGCTAAATAGTCTCATTAGAAAGGATATTTGATCTCAAGGGGCATTTGATGCCTTGTTTGGTTCTACTTCTATGGACAAAAAAAGTACATATCTTAAATGTATTAACTATGTTTTAGCAAACAAGAGTCTCTAGCAGATTATCATAGATGTATATGGTGTCCTTCTATGGGAGGCTTAGCTATTTGCGTCAGGACTATTATTTCTATAAGTTCATCTCCAAATAGTTTAGGCTGTCAGACTGGCTGGTGGAGAGCAGCTCCAGTCTGCCCATTCCTGGACATAGCAGAAGAGAGCAGACAGATCTGCTCCAGATACCACAGGAGCAGGGCTCTGGCCCAGATGTTGTAAGCCAGATTCAGGGGACACGATGTTCCACTCCCAGGTCTTGCAAAGTTTCTGGGCACTCTTTTGGTTGACTAGCTCAGGGAAGCATAAATAAGGGAAGACTTCTTGGAAGATGATATGTTATGCTCCTTTATTCCTTTTGGACTGCCAGGAGGATGAGATGACACAAGCTTGCTGCAGCTGGGGGCAAGGTAGAAAGCCCCTGTTTTAATTCTCATCTAGGCCAGCCTTGCCAACGTGGTGGACTGTGCCTTAAAGTCTTCCCCTATGCTGCAGAGGTTCTCACCCCATAGCTTTCCTGCACCCTTTGTATCTCTTACAACACAACACAGCAGGCTTGAGTAGGAGGGGTTGACACAGCTTCCTCTCCAGTTTCCCAAAGCGCTTATTTTTTGCGTGACTGCCACCATGGCCGTCAGTTCTAATGTGTTGTTTACACACTGCAAGCAGGTGTCTCCTATTCAGATGTTATCTGTGCTCTTATCTGTCATATTTTGGAGGCTGTGATTTGCCCTACCGTGAGCATATCTAAATCTGCACAGCAGCTGACTTTCACTGCCCTTTATTTATTTATGTTCATGGCTGCTGAATCCTGGGGCCCCCCTACTCGGCCCTCCAAGGCAGTCTCTTCCCCGAGTACCTGGGAACACACTGGGAAGAGAACTGAGTTGGAGTTGACACTTAGGCAAGTCACACTCACTCTTGAGGCTCTATTTTCCAATCTGTAAAATAGTAGTAATGGCGTTTGGTTTGCCTCTCACACATGGTTGTGAAAAGTCAAGGAGAATGATGCCAAAGCATTTCACGAACTGTCCAGTGCTGACCAGAAATAAGGAAGATAATGTTGAAACTGATGATGAAGACGAAGATGATGACAACAATGGAGATAATTGTGCTTGGCACATGAAGTTACTTTGTTTTCGACTGACGATTAGATACAGTTTCCCTGAATGGAGCTGCCTATTGCCTTCCTTCTAGAGTTTATCCAGATAACCTTGGGTGAGCTCTCTACAATTAATTCATCTGTAAAATGGGCATGATAAAAACCACCAGGCAGTGTTGCTGTGAGAATTGAAGCAAATGAGTCAGTAGATATAAAAGTACCCAGGAGAGTGCCTGGCCCTTATTAGGAGCTTCATCAGCACTACTTGAATTTGAACTTATGTAACTTTAGCGGGAAATGTGCTGTTCCCAAACTTGAATGGGGTAGTAGAAAGAGTACAGACTTTATTTTGCTTGTTAAGTAGCGTGTGACTTTAGCCTCTCTGAGCCTTAATTTCCTCATCTGTAAAACAACAATGCTCACCTCAAAAGACTGTTGTGTGCATTAAAGGGCATTGTCTATGGAGAGAGCTTATCACAGTGCCTGACACTGATAAGTGCTTGGTAATTAATGGCTCTCTCACCCTTATGCTTAAATGGGTGAGTTCCTTAGAAGAAAGAAAGAGCAGATCCTCCTACAGTCACAACTGTGGTGGCCTTCCCCCCCTTCAGTCCTGGGTACCATCATGCTATAGGGCTGTAGCTCACAGTGCACTTTCCTGGTGAGATCCCTTGGCGTGAGCACCATGGCAATAGCAGTCCCAGGGTGCCAGGACTCTTGCTGCCCCATTGCTGGGCCTCCTGTTTCCCTCTTCTGAAGTCAAAGCTTGAGTAAGAGGCAGGAGAAAGGGATAGGAGACAGGGCACCGAAGGCATCCATCCTCAGCTTGCTACTTGTCTGGGACCTTGCCAGCAGGCTACAGTTGGTGATGTAGTATGGGGGGCAGTCAATATGAGGTGGTCTCACTTGGTAGCTGCTGGTAGGAGGCCAAGGGGGCTAACTGGCATGTGTGCATTCTCACTCTCCATAGGCAGTGGTGGGCAACACTAAGAGCTGACAGATTGAGTGTCAGCAGGAAAGTTTTGGTCTTGTGCCACTCTATACACTTAAGTTACAAAGGATTGTTCACTGTTCTCAACACACCATGCATATTATGGCCTCTGTCCTTTGCTTATGTCTGCCCTTCTTTGTATACTTGACAAAGAAGACATTTTTTGACGACCCAGTTCAAAAATCACCTCTACTCTTGCAATTCTCTTGGACTGTTCTAGGCACAGTTGATGACCCCTCCTCTGGTCTTCCATAACTATGTGCTCAGAGTGATGACAAATCACCTTAAGGGGAATAGTTTTCAAATCTCTCTCCTCTGTTAGAAGTAAGTGCCTTGAGGGCAGTGACTAGGTTGGATTCATCTAACATTCCAAATTCCTAGCACAGTGCCTGGCCCACAGTAGGAGCTTACACAAAGGTAGTTTCCTGACCTTGCTTGAGCCATGTTGAAGGCGACCAGGGCACCATGGAGCCAGAGTGGGCAGCCAGGGAGGGTGTCCGGTGGGTCAGCAGCAGTGGTGGTCAGCAGTGTGGAGGGACACCAGGCACCCATGTCAAATCTCTTCCTCTTCACTGGCCTTGCTCCAACGGTGGCAACAGTTGGCTGTGATACCCAGTAGGAAGTTGGTGGCCACGGATGCGATGGAGACCACGAAGCCCACAAACGCGATGAAGAGGTAATCGTCCAGGGTCAGGGTCAGGTGGCAGGCCTTGAAGCTCTCCTCAGTGAGGGAGAAGAGTGGGGCACCCTCGACTTCAGGGGGGCCCCGACACTCAGCCAGCTGAGAATCTGCAATACAGAACCCAGGAATGGTGAGGTACCTGGTGGAGAAAGAATGAAATGGAGAGCCGCCACCCCTCCCAGGAGAAGTTGATTTTTTTATTGAATTTCTTCCATGTGCCCAAAACTATACTTACCTTCTTTAGTACCCTCAACAACCCTCAAGGCAAGTATTTTTATAGATGTGGAGATCACTGCTTGGAGAGTTTAATAACTTGCCTAAAGTCCAATAGCTACTACTAGTGGTAGATCTGGGGGTTTTGTAGGACATCATCATCTCTTACAATAGACTCCCAACTGGTTTCTGGGCTTCTGCCCTTAACCCATCTCAACACAATTGGCTGAGTGGTACTTTCAAACCTCAAGCCCTATTATGTCACTTTCTGCTTGAAACCCTCCTCTGGCTTCCTATCTTCCAGAGATTCAAAGCCAAGGTCCTCAACATGGGCTACAAGAACTCTTCCCCAACTCTCCCATTCTACTCCTTATTTACTCTGTTCCATCCATGCACATCTCTTGGTCATTCCTCCATCACCCTGAGCATGTCCCCTTTCAGGGTTGGAGGGGGTGCCTTTGCATTTGTACCCTTCTGAAGATTCTTCTCCCCTGGATCTCTGCATAGCTCAGTCCTTCACTTCTTTTGGGACTTGGCTCAAATATCACCTTATTAGTGAGGCCTTCCTTTATGATTCTATATAAAACAGCAACCCCCAACTTCACCTTTCTCTAGGCAGGCTCTATCTTGCCTATTCTACCTAATTTTTCTCCATTGTCTCTATCACTGTCTCAGAGTTTGTTCATTATCTGTCTCTTCCCCCTTGAATATAAGCACCTCCCATGGCATCCTCAGCATCGGAACAGTGTCCTGTCCATGTAAGTGCTCAATTAATCTTTGTTAAATGATCTATGAATAAATGACTCTGTCAAACTCAAAAGCATTGGGTCTTCCTACCACCACATGTGGCTTTTCCAGATACACAGAGTGTAGAGTTAGGACTATGGGTCTAGAGCTACTGGCCTGAATTCAAATCCTCTCTACATCCCTCCCTATTTGAGTGATTGTGGGTAAGTTATTCAATCCCTCTTTGTCTTGGTTTCTTCATCTGTAAAATGAGGATAATACTAGTCTCTATCACGTAGGGTTGTAGTGAGGATTCAATGAGTTAACATATGAAAATGATATATTCTTGGTCTATAATAAGTACTATGTAAGTCTGCATGTTTATCATTATCTTAGGTTGGTCTCTCTGGACAGGTCAGTGGGGTCCTATTCTGCACACAGACTTCTGTAGGAGGGGGCTTTTCCTTCAGTGGGATTACTGTTCTCTCCATCATTGATGGCCCACCCCATCCTTCCAGGGACACTTGTACAAATGCATTATGGTTGTCAACGGTTTTGTCTTACTCTGCCTTGGAAGTTAGAGTGGATGCAGGTAGCAGTTCTGTGTGCAGTGCCAGGCACTGGCTTTTGAGCAGTCAGCCATTCCATTGTTCAGTGTATAAATATTAGTCAAGCTCTCACCTTGGGCAAATCCTTTTTACCTTTCTGGCTCTCATGAAGAAAGGGGATATATGAGAAGGGGTGATCTTACCTAAACTGTCCAAGAAAGTCAATGTGAAGGAGTTTTCTAAATTATGTGGTGCTTAAATGCTATTTATTCATTCTGTAGTTATTGAGAGCAAAGAATAAAATGAAGACTTGGATTGACCCTTTGCAGAAATGGATGAGCATTATTCTCCTTAGAAATGGGGAGTCAGTTTCAGAAGGAGGATGCCACCTGCCCCAAACCCCAGGTTGAGGGGTCCCTATAGGCTGTATGCACAGTACTCCAGACTCTTCCCAGGAAAAGATCGTGTCTGGACTTGATCATCAAGGGGCTCTTCTCTTGGAACTGAAAGATGCTGAAATCCAAAGTCTATTGTGTGCCTGACTGGGGTGGTGGTGAGACAATATGAAGCTGGTGAATGTGGGCAAATGGTATGGACCAACCAGAGGAGGCTCTGAGCGCGATTGGCAGGACCCCACAGGAGTGCAGGATGGGAGCTCAGTGGCTGACAAAACTCTCTGGTAAGTCAAGGAACCAGTCTTGAAGTTGAGTTATATCCCAAGGGCACCCTTAGATCCCTCTTTGTTGGGATTTGTCCAAAAACCACAGATAGTGAGAATCCCATGAAGAAAAAGGGAGGAAAAAGCAGAAAAAGACAGAGAAGAGGATCGCCCAGTTCAACCTCCACTGGCCAGTTCTTTGTCCCCAAGAGAAAATATCCTGGAGAGCGCAATGTGGTGCAAAGTATATTCTATGGAGGGACAGGGAACCTGAGTTTCTAGCTGTGGCCTGTTTGCTTTCTCTCTGTGAGCTTGTAGACAGTCACTTTCCCTCTCTGGAGCTCAGTTCCCTCAGTTGTCCTGAGTGAGGCTGCACTGATGGGATCTTGGACCCATCTCCCAAGCGCTGGGAGTCTGTGGTTCTTCTAAAGATCTTCTTCAGGCATCACAGAAAAGGAGGAACCCCTAGGTATGGTGGAAGCTTAGCGCTCCAGAATGCCCTTTGTCCTTAGAGCACAGGAGAGAGGGGAGGAGGTACAGCTTGCAAGGGTTGAGTGAGTGGGGAGATCACTCCTGGCAGCCTCCCCCTCACACCCCCTACCATTACCCCGTCTCAGTCCCCAGCTATTTTGGTCCCAGAGAACTTCCTCCCACAGCTCTGTGGAAACACTGGAATCGTGACCCACAGCCCCCCCAGACTATTTTGGTCCTGGGCTCCCCACTCTGTCCTTTTCTCCCTCCTACCTCATTCAGCATTGCTTCTTCTGAACACACTCTGAGCCCAGGCTCTGGGAAAGCCCCTGGGCTAGTGCCCCACTTATTCCTGTCACTCTACTGCTGGAGGATTATGCCAAGACTCAGTGCTGCCACACTGGAGTGCTGGTGACTAGGGGGGACAGCTGAACATTGACTGCCTCCGGGTCAGGCTTGGGCACCACTGGGTGAGGCCAGGGCCCAGCAAGCCTGTGTGATTCAGGCTCCTTCAGTTCCCAGTCTACCTCCAGGTGGGATTGGCTAGTCAAATGCCACCTCCCATTTTCTCTTCTCAGCTCCCTATCCCATGCCCAAACCTTGCAGAACTCTGCTGAGGCCCTTTGGCCAGCCCAGAACTCAGGCCTTGACTCTTCCTCTTAGCCTAGAAACTGACTCTTCGGGATATAGTCAGAGGGCAGCCAGACTGCCAGGGTACGAATCCTGGCTTCAACACGTAGCGCCTGTGTGGCTTTGGGCAAGTTACTAAACCTTTCTGTGGCTAGGTTTCCTCCTCTTTAGAGTGGGGACCTCTTGTGAGGAAAAAATGAGTTAAAATATGCCATATGTTTAGAATAGGGCCTGGCAGATAGTAAGTATGAAAATAGTGTTAGCCATTTCTATTTCTTCAAGAATTTTGCCAGCACTTAAAACACTTAAAAAGCAGTCTGGAGGAGTAGAAGTCAAATAAACTTGGGTCTTATCCATGACTCTGACACTTTCTAAATGAGCCACTCTGGGCAAGTCGTTCCATTGTTCTAAGTCTTAGTTTCTTCACCTGTAAAATGAGGATAATAAAAGCTGGGGTCCAGTGAGGTAATGCATGTCAAGTTCATAGGTCATGGTGGAAGCTCAATAAACACAGACTGTTATTGGCTATTCTTACTTGTTTAGTATCTGTCTGCCTCATTAGGTCATAAGTGCCACAGAGGCAAGGGCGGTGTCTGTTTCATTAACAAAGGGGTCTCCGGCACCTGGCGTGCATAACAAGGACTCGACACTCACTTGTGGAGTGAAAGAACTGACGTACGGAGAGGTGAGCACAGATCAAGGCAAACAGTAGGCACTCAAGATCTCTAAGTCCATCCCTCTTTTTTGGAGCCTTTGCTTTCAGTGAGACAAGACCCCTTCCACCCCCCATGGCTACCTGTTCCTGCATTCCTTCCTTACCTGCTGTGCAGCGCTGGATCCGGTTCCGTAGCCACTTCAGCAGGGGTTCCATCGTGCAGCCGCACACCCAAGGGTTGCCGCCGATCTGCAGGGTCACCAGGCCAGGCAGGCCCTCGAGAGCCTCGAGGCTGAGGAAGGCCAGGCCCCCGTAGCTGAGGTCCAGGTCTCGGAGCTGCACCAGGCCCTGGAAGGCCTGAGGGTGCACTCTGCGCAGCCACGGGTTGTGGCTCAAGTCGATGTGCACGAGCCCATGGGCTTCCCTGAACATGTCAGCCGGCACATGGCTGAGGTTGTTGTAGCTCAGATCCAGGTGTGCCAGGCGCTTGGCATGGAGGAAGAGGCCCGGGGGCAGCTCCATCAAGGAGTTGTTGCGTAAATCCAGCACTCGGAGCTCCATGTAACACGTGAGGTAGCCGGGCGGCACAGCTGCAATGCGGTTGTGGGCCAGGCTGAGGTTGTGAGTGTCCCTTGGGAGGTCTGGGGGCACGGAGAATAGCCGCTGGCTGCTGCAATCCACCACCTGGTTATGGCATGTGCAGAGGACAGGGCAGCTGGTGCCAGCATCCGAGTGCATCACCCCAGCTGCCAAGAAGAGGGAGACCAGCAGCACGGTTGGGCAGGACGTCCCAGGCCAGGGCAGCTTGGACCAGGTGTCACCCATCTTAGGCAGCTGGCAACAGCAGTGCTGAAGGGAGCCCATCGGGGCTGGGGCTGTGTCCATGGAATCAAGAGTCAGTGGCACTGGAAGCAGCTACTACAGGGAGAAGAGCCCTGGAAGGTGGGGCTTCTGAGCACGTGGTATCATGGCTCAAGTCTTTCCCAGAGCCTCTAAGCATCAGAGGGCTCCCTAGGTGAGATCCACAGGAAGTCCCCTTTGGAGCCTAGAGGGCAATAAAGCCAGTCGAGGTCCCCCAGGGTCTGCAAAGATGATCAAAACTTGAAAAAGGAAGGAGACAAGGATGGGGCTTGATCAACTGCCAGCAAGTTGAGGAAGGGTCCCTGCAGATGTTTTGTGTCCCTCTCACCCATGACTGCTGGGTGCTTCCTTTCTGTACTAGGTCTGAGAGGTGGGAGAGGGGAGTAAGGACATGAAAGATGCCCTGTAAAGGTCCTGGCTCATCTGAAACACCTCGAGCCCTGCCCCAAGTCTGAGACTGATTAGGAGGCCAGGGTTGCATATGGGTCTCCAGCATTCAAGGTCTCAGAGGCCATTTCTCCTGGTGGCCCAATGGGCTCGAGTCCAAGGGGGACCTGGGGTGAGCGTTTTGGGCAAGGAGCCCTGGGGGAGGTGGGTCTCCATGAAACTCCTGAAAGCCTTAGTCCTCAGCCTCAGTGTTTACTGAAATCCCTGGAGAGGCTCTTCTTTCCCCAGGGAGGGGAGGACTCCAAGTGACACCCACTGTTGACCACCGAGTCTGGAAAGAGCCATGTGTCCTGGAGGTGCAGGATGGGGGTCAGCTAGGAAAGCATTGGCCACTTCTCCAAGCCAGGGCCTCTCTCTCAGCTGGGCTCTGTGTTCAGCACGAGGAGGCAGAATTTCCTCTGTCAACAAGGAAAGCACTCAGGCAGAGAAATCCAGTGCCCTCTCCTCCCCGCTGTCCCCTCTCCCAGGTTCCTTGCCCCCCTGTTTCTTAGCCACCAATCACAAAGTTCTCTGCTTACTGTCTCCCAGGTGTGGGCCGTGGTGGGCTCAGATCCCATCCTCACATTGTTGTCACCCACTAACCTTCTGGGTCCCCACCTGAGCCATCTTCCTCCTAGGTTTCTATCCTGGGCTGGAAACATTTTCTTCTTCTCCTAGCCCCACCCCCATCAGCACCAAACACCCCACCATTGAATAACTCTTGAGGAAAAAATGCATACACACTCCGGCTGTTTGCACACTCTTTTCAGACACACTTAGCACTCCCATCTCTCTCTCTCATGCATGTGCACATTCTGTCTCTCACACACACACATGCACATTGTTCTTCAGTGATTTCCCCACATTTTGCCCTGCCCTGTGTTCACACCTCCCCAGTTTTCTTTCCAGTTTCCTTCTGTACATGCACTCCTGCAGAGCCCCCTTTCCAGTCTGCCCCCATCTTCTTTCACCCCCAGTGCGCATCCCTAATCCCAGCATCCTTTTCCACAAATGCTCCACTCTCCTCTCTGCCCCCCCCAGCTTGAGCCCACACCCACACTTGGTCAGGCAGAGAGACAGTGCGATGACACACCCGGTGTCTTAACCCACCGTCTACCCGCACCCTCCGTGGCCCCTCGCTTCTCCCGGACTCACCTGCTGTCCTCATTTGTCCTCCCCACACCTCCTTGGTCCAGCACCTCCTCTCTTCCCATTGATTCCAGCGTCAATCCCTCCCACTGGGAAATCACCCCAGCTCCCCTTTATCTAGACTCATTTTTTTCTGAGTCCCAAGGTCTCCCACAGGCCCTTATGAGCCCACTTACTCTGTTCCAAGGACACAGTCATCAATCTGCAGCAGACATGGGTCTCCCTCCCTCATCCTGGAATCCCTGCTTGCTGCTTCAGGAGAACAGATTGCCTCCCGGCTCTTCCCCTCCCCCGGCCTCTCCTCCTCCATGGCTCCTGAATCCCCGGGCAGCATCCTTGGTGCTTTCCCGTCCTGTGAGTCCCCGTGCTGATCCCCTTCTCTTGCTCAAAAGGTGGATCAGAGAGAGGATGCTTAGAAGAAAGTTGACAGAATCCGAATGCTTCTCCCTGAAACTCAGCTGGTGCTGAGGCTGCTGGAGTGTGTGGCTTCCGCCAGGTCTTCCCCTCCCTCCTCCTCCCTGCCTCTCTCCCCCTCCTCTCTCTCTTTTTCGCTCCCTTTTTTTCCTCGAGGGCCAGGTACTGACGTTTCACTGTCTCTTAGCAACTGCCTCCACATCTCTGAGCAACAGGAGCACTGGCTATGGACCCCACCAAGATGAGAGAGAAGAGAACGAAGCAGTCGCAGAATCCAGAGCCACCCGCAGGATCCTACTGATAGAGCCTCAGGATCAAGGGGCCAGTGGGTAGACAGAGCAGGACAGGGGCGGGGATGAGGAGCAGGCAGGAGGAGAGGGCAAAAGGGCCCAGGTTGGAGTAGGGGAAAACGCATGGATCTGGAATTCGAGATGGAGGGGGAACTTAAGGGCCTCGGACCCGGAAGGGAAAATAGAGAAATGGCTTGGCATGGAAAAAGGAACTTAGTGGGGAGGTAGGGGAGAAAATGAGGGAGGCAATGAAGACATGAAAAAGAGTGGAGGGAAGGAAAAGAGAAGTGCATGTGACAAGTTTGCTCACTTGATGGGATATATCTATTCACTCCATATACAGCATCTATTTCCCTGGGTCTGAATGTATTTTGCTCACCAGACTGGGTCAGGGCTTGTCAGGAACAATTAAAGAAGGTGATACCTTTTCTGTGTTCCTTAATTATTTCTAAGTCCTGACCCCACAAGCTCTGAGAGCTTTTGGGGTGCAAACAACCAAGTGCCAGGTCCAGGTCACTCAGGTCTCTCTCTGGGGGAGTGGGAGCTGCCAGAAAAACCTTGTGGTCTTGTCCTTCTCCAGACCCCAGGAACTCTGTCTGCCATCCTGTTCCCAACTCTCCAAGCTTCCTGCTCCCTCCTACCCCAGACTGACTTCAGATAAGGGTGAAGTCCTTGCAATACCACCTCTTTCCTTGATAATCCCTTGAGCACGTCTCTAGCTGCCCTGCATTTGGAAAACCAGTTTTACCAGTTGGTTTGGTCAAAGAGCTGGCTCATTTCTTCATTTTAATAATTATTTGTTCAGAGCTCACTTTGTGCTGGGCATATAGCTTCTGGAAAGATGGATGTAGACCTTGCCCTCATAGGGGGAATGTCAGTCCTGTGTGTTCACTCTTCTGGGGAGACCAAAGTGGAGGAACACAAGCCAAGTGTTAGGTTATGCGGATTCCAGGCATTTACAAAGTTCTCAAAATCACTGTTTTCTGGAACACAATACTTTTTCTTATGTGGTCTGCTTCTAAGCACTGTCCTCTCTCCTATTAGGCTTATTTTGGATCTTGCATGTTCTACAGTGTCTAGTGCAGAGTAACGTGGTAGCCACTTCATTAATATTTATATATTGAATTAGATGAGGTAAATATGATTTGCATCGCCCCCTCCCTTAAAGAAGGGAATTCTTGTTTACTTCATTTATGAGCTTAGGAATAACATCTTGATCTTAATGTACAAAACACAGCAACACATTGAAACAAGTAATCCATTATAAACAAGGACTCAGTATAGCAAAGCTAGCATAATACCTTATTAACATTAACTGAAAAATGGTACAAAACATAGTTATCCCAATAAAGGCTGAGAAAGGTAATCAGCACATTTCAGTATTTAATGTTGACTAAAGGCACATTAAAAAATAAAGAAAAAAGAATGGAAGTTTTCTCCCTTTATATAACATCAAGTTTATGTTTATAATTAGAACCAATAATATGACTAAAGGAAAATATTTGTGACAGTTTCCTTAAAAAATAGGATCTGGGCAAGAATGCCTCATCATCATTTGAAACTAGAGTTTTCTGGCCTGTAAAATTGGGATAAGAAAAATGGCACCAAACTCATAGGGCTGTTTTAGGTTATATGAGTTGTTATTAATAAATCTATTAGAACAGTACACAGTGAGCACTGCAGATGTGTTTGTTAAAAGAACAAATAAAATAAAAAATAGCAGAATATAAAATTGCTGAAATAGTTATGCAAGGAGGAAAACAAATTTCACAAAAATGGGAAATGAAGAAAGGAAAATATCGCATCTGCAAATGATTTAAATGTATTCTTGTGCAAGATGGGTCTCAAAACCTTTAGAAAAGCCTGACTCGAGAACATTATCACTGCATGTAATGTCTTCTGTAAAAGTGAGGTTAAATGAGGGAAGACATCTTTGAAATGACTTTTTACCTGTAATCATTCTCGAAGTTAAGTATTAAACCATGGTTTCCCAAACTGGTGTCTCATGGTACACCGTGTACCATGAGAAAAATGTTCTCAGATAAGTTTGAGACACATTGTGTTAGACAAAATGAAACAAATCTGTTTATTGCAAGATTTCTCAGAGGCTTTCATTGCAAATGTTCATGGTGACTCTCCAAGGGGAAGGGTTGGGGAAAGATGTATAATATCCAGCATGACTCTTATGCTGGGTGGCTGCTGCTCCCTTTAGCAAAGTGACTTTCTCCGCACAGCAGCTTTGCTATGATGATTGAATTTTGAACTCCAGTGAAATGATAAATTATTACATATCATGGCCTTTCGGAGTCTCTTGGAAGTTATTGAAACTGTGACTGTTCAATTAGGAAGGTCAAGGATTTATTCTACTGGGAAAATACACAGAAACTAATCTAAGAATTGTAGATACAAGTGAGTTGAAAACCATTTTCCTTATTATGATTTCTTGACATACATGGTAAATTAGTTGTAATAATGACAGAAAACATTTAAATATGTGAGAATTAATTTAATCTACCACGAAAGAAATTTATTCAGGGAAAATTATGAAACCTTAGTAGAATGAAGATACAGGAAGAAATGGAAAGCTAATCTCTTTAGTTGCTAGAAACATTTAAAAATAGGAAAGATGACTCTGCTTTCTACATTACGATAATTTAATGAAGCGTGTAGCAGAATCTTGTAAACTGAAGGAAAAATGGGCAAGAATGCACAGCTGAGGTTAATAAAGAAGATGACAGTAATGGGAAATGTTTAAAAGTAATGATGGTGGACTTACCTAACTAAAAGATTAAAAAAATATATAGTAAACTGAAAATCATTTAATGGCACGACTCAATATTTGCACTTTGGAAAACGACCATGGGATAGACTATACTTTGAGAAAGTGAGTCTCACCAGCAGAGTACACAACACGAGAAGTGGGAAACAAAACCACAATGTTGACGGTGATCTCAGAGTAAGAAATGTTATTGAGACATTAGCGCCATACTTGATTTTAATATATTAAAGAAATTCCAAATAGTCCAAAGAATTAAAGAGAGAAAGAAGCAATAACAAAATGTAAATAAGGAAGAGATCAGAATAGCACATTTATCCTAGCCATGGAGAGAAGATATTTTTCTGTGTATTGAGGAAATGGAGAATGTTATTAGTGCCAAAATGGCTTTTGTCAAATACTCCACACTGAAAGACAAAAGGTTTCAATGAGCCAAAAAAATGATAAAATGAAATCAGAGAGAAAGGAAAGAAATCAGTGGAAAAATAGATTTTAGACATAAGTGATTTGAAATCCATGCAAAATACACTAAGAAATGCTACAAATAGCATTCTTATGAATTGATATAATACATAAATTTCTCTGATGCAAGTTTGGAAAAATAAAGCATTGTATATGTTAATTATACCTCAATCAAAAACCCCAGAGAAAACCCAAAACATTGTGGTAGGCAAGATTATCAGATGACCCCTGTAATGGGTAGAATAATGGTCCTCAAAGATGCTTTCATTCGAATCCCTAACACCTGTGATTATGTTACCTTATAAGGCGAAACAGCCTTTGTAGATGTGGTTAAGGATCTTGAGATGAGAGTAGCCTGGATTACCCAGGTGGGTCCAATGTAATCATGAGGCTCCTTAAAACAGAAAGAGAAAGAAGAGTCAGAGGAGATGTGATGATGGATGTTAACCTGCTGGCTTTGCAGACGAGGAAGGTGCCATGACTCAAGGAATGCAGGCAGGCTCTGGCAGCTAGAAAAAGCACGGAAACATTCTCTCCTAGAGCCTCCAGACGGAATGCAGCTCTGGTGACCCACTTTAGGCTTGTGACCTCCAAAACTCTAAAACGCTAAGTGCATGTTGTTTTAAGCCACTAAGTTTGTGGTAATTTGTTACAGCAGCAATAGGTAACTAATCCAACGCTCAAGGTTCCCATTCCCTGGTGTGTACACCTCATGTAGTCCCCTCCCCTTGAGTTTTGGCAGAATCTGTGACTATGATAGGGTAATCAGTTGACTTTGTGTTAATCAAAAGGTAGCTTATCCAGGTTTGCTTTACTTAATCAGGTGAACCCTTAAAAAGGCCTGGCCCCTTCCTGAAAGTGTATTGATGGATATTCTCCATTGTTAACTCTGAGAACTGGGGTGGGGGGGGCGAAGGGAGTGGGGGGCGGTTACTAGGAAAGGACCTCTAGTTTCTGAGGTTGACCCCTGGCCAACAGCCAGCAAGAAAATGGGCACCTCAGTCCTACAACTGCAAGGACCTGAATTCTGCCAAGGAGTTTAGAAGATGACCCGGAGCTCCAGATGACAACACAGCTGCCAACAACTTGATTTCAGCCTCATGAAATACTTTGAGTAGCGAGCCTAGCTATGCTGTGCCAGGACTTCTGACCTACAGAGCTATGAGCTGATACATGAGTGTTGTTTTAAGCCACTAGGTTTGTGGTAATTTGTTAGACAGCAACAGAAAACTAACACAAAGGTCATGTGGAAAAATGAACAGTTTCACCAGCAATTAAATGAGTAGTTTTTTTCAAAGATTGGCACCTGAGCTAACATCTGTTGCCAATCTTTTTTTTCCTTCTTCTCCCCAAAGCCCCCCAGGACATAGTTGTAGGTCCTTCTGATCTTGCTTTGTGGGATGCCACCTCAGCATGGCTTGATGAGTGGTGCTGTGTCCACATCCAGCAACCGAACTGGCGAAACCCCGGGCCGCCAAAGCGGAGTGCCCGGACTTAACCATTCGGCTATGAGGCGGCCCCTAAATGTGTAATTTTAGAAACCATTTTGCAATAATATATTAAATGAGTAATAATAAATACATCTGGAAAATTCCACATGAAGGGTATGAGGGAGCCAGATATAAGTACACTGCCTGCAGGCACTGGGAACTCACTCAGGCACACTTAGGAAATTGCTCGCCCCTTTGATCTGGCAATTAGTAAGAAATTAGTTCAGACAAAAATATTCATAGTGGGAATATTTACAATAACGAAAAAGAGAGAAATAATATAAATGCCCAGCAACAGAGAGTGCTAAGCAAATGC